GGTGTGACCGCCCCGCAGCCTGGCGAGAGCAGCGGTTCGGGTCGGCGAGGGCCAGCTTCGGAACTCCTTTGGAGATGCCATGCGGGGGATATCTTCCTCACGCGGTTTCTTAGGAGATGGGATGGCTCTGGGGCTTTGGGAACCGCTGGGCTGTCTGCTAACGCCCCCCTTTACGATTTTCTAGGTTTATCAACGATGAGACGTAGCAGTGACGCTTAGCGATGGGTGACGTTTTAGCTTATGAAGCTGAGTTACTCGGACTAGTTAGAGAGGTTGGTTTTCTGTCTTTTTTTTTTCTGTGTTTGAAATGAGCAAGGCTAAATTTCATAGTGCTTAGCCAGGCATTGTAACTGTGGTCTAAATTCTGGAGTTGTTGAACTGCCCAAGTGTTTGCTGCACCCTGAAATCATATTGACTCCTGTAGATTTAAAGGGCTCAATGTCCATTAAAAGCCAGAAATCAAACATCAAATCAATCCAGAATTGTCTGTTGTTCATTGCAAATGAGGCTTTCATTAAAGGAACAGTGAAGTTGATGAGATGCACAGAGCTTTGGGGCTCAGGTTTGAACTGTGATACTGGTGACATCTTTAAAACATTGCTTAGCTGCCACCTCACTCCATATGTGTATAAAATCACAGAGGTATGTAAAAACCCTAGAGCTGACAAAGCTCAAGCTGAAGTCATAGAATCATAGAATGGTTTGGATTGGAAGGGCCTTTAAAGCTCATCCAGTCCAACCCTCCTGCCATAGGCAGAGACACCTCCCCCTAGGCCAGGCTGCTCAAAGCCCTGTCCAACCTGGCTTTGAACACTTTGAGGGAGGAGGCATTGACAGCTTCCCTGGGCAACCTGTTCCTGTATCTCACCACCGTCACAGTAAAGAATTTCTTCCTAATATCCAGTCTAAATCTCCCCTCTTCCAGTTTTAAACTGTTCCCTCTCATTCTATCGCTACCTGCCCTTGTATAAAGTCCCTCCCCAGCTTTCCTGTAGGACCCCTTCAGGATCTGAATCTACTGATATCCATGGTTTAATGCCTAAGCAAGATTTTCCAGCTAGGCACTCCTCTACCCACATTGCCCAGAAAAGGTAATCGGGAGATATTCTAAAGTGTGAGATGGTCCTGTGAAAAAGACAATGAGAGAAAAACTTTCAAGGGTGGGTGTCTCTTTGGTAGTCTGTGCTTCAGCCTTCTGCATGAATTGGCTAAAATGGGTTATGATTTGGAAGAAGAATGCAATCTGTGTTCTCTGCTGCTTGTTACTGCCTTATTCCTTTGACTGATGCTGTGTTGTAGCCTAGTTTAGGACCCTCAGTGCACACCAAACCAACCACTTAACTCCCGTGCCTGGTGTGCTTGTGTGACCCAACCTCTTGCAGGAGCACCAAAAGTGCCAGAGCTGCAGAGGGGCGATCAGGAGCAGCAGTCTGCTGTCACTGTGCCCAGCTTTCACCAGGCTGGCTGTTGAAAGCCTGGACAGTTACCTCCTGCCCAAAAAGTCTAGCAAATAGCAAAATCATACACAACTTTAACCTTTCTGTGGAAATCAGAAAACAAATCTAAAAAGAGGTTTAAGTACTTAATCATTACTGTGCTACTGTTTAGGTTAGCAGTGAAGAGAGTAAACAATTTTTGCTCTCTGTGGCGATGCTGGGTATCCAGACCATGTCTGCAAAATGAAATGTGATGTCTTGCCTCAGCAACCAGTAACTAAGAGTCCTGAGATGAGGGAGGAGGAGAAATTTGTGTGTAATATAGTGACTGTACGTTGTGGGAGGAAGAGGCAGGGCTGTTTATCTCTTTCTCAGAAGAACGTTGTTGATTAGTTGGTCACTAATTTGGCTTGCACAGCTTCAGATGAGTAAACTGGCTTAGAATTCAAGCTGTCTGACTGCTTCTGTGCAGATGAGAACCACATCTAAGAATTCTGCACTTTGAGAACATTATTTGCAAGAAATTTATTGTTTCTTCAACCAAGGTATAGCATTAATAGATTTTAGGGTTTTTTCTTCTTTGGTTGAACGAAATTACTGGCTAAATTGTACTTAAATTTGAGAAGAAACTTCTTCTCAGTGAGGGTGACAGAGCACTGGACCAGGCTGCCCAGAGAGGTTGTGGAGTCTCCTTCTCTGGAGACATTCAAAACCCGCCTGGACGCCTTCCTGTGTAACCTCATCTGGGTGTTCCTGCTCTGGCAGGGGGATTGGACTGGATGAGCTTTTGAGGTCCCTTCCAATCCCTAACGTTCTGTGATTCTGTAAATTGAGGGGCTTCATTCTTTCAGAAAGGATGTTCTCAGTTGTCAGTGCTGTTCTCTAGGATGCAGAAGGAAATTTAGTTGAGAGACAGTGTTTTCCTACCACCTGCGGTACCAGTTCTTGGTTTGTTGCTGTGTAGTCTTTGGGATTTATGGACCCTGCTACAGAGAAACTTTAAAGGACTTTGACGATTCATGGGTCACTCATTGAATCACTTATAATAGTAAAAAATATTGTTTCTGTATGGTTTTGTCTTGCAGTATTTGGATTTTGCTGAATTTGAAGAAACTGTGAAAGTATTTACAAAGGAATGTAAAATCAAAGGGAAGCCACTACCTAAACCAGCAGGTGTTTTCTCAAGAGATTCAGAGGCTTTGCCTGTTCAGGTAATGCATCGTTTACACTTACTTTGAGTAATACTAAAACCAGTTAAAGACCACTAACCACTATGTGACTTGTTACAGCAGTGAGATTATCTGAGCTGTCTGAAGAGCTTTTTTATTATTTGAAGTCTGCTAGCAGTCTCCTTTCAGTGCAGGAACGTTCCAGTTTGGTTTTTTTAGTTTCAGAACTCCAGTCCTTGTGAACCTGAGAAAGTAGTTTTGTTTCACACTACATTATGTTTGTTAGCTTGCCATACGACTTATGCTACGTTTAGCTAACTTTAGCTTGTCATAAGACTGATTCTCACACACCATAGACATTTATTTTTCCCTTATGGTAAAGGTGAATCCCCAGATTGACATGCTTGAAAATGTGAGCTTTATGTCTTGTACTGATGGGTGATTCAGACTCTCAAAGATATTAAAGACGTGTGGAAAAAGAATGTTTAAGTGGTCATTGAACAGCGAGAGATTTTAGGATAAAACTCTTAATTCACAGTGTTCAGATGGCACGAATTGTTCATTCACTAACCTACTGCTGAAAAAATGTAGCTCTTCTGTGTTTGGTTTTCCAATGAATGCTTTTTCTCTTTGCAGAAAGATCTGCTTACAGCATTTGAGAATGGTGAGCAGAAGGTTTTCTTCCAGCTCTGGGAGGAGCATATTTCATCTTCAGTCCAGGACAATGAACAGGTTGCTCAGAAGCTGGAGTTCTATCTCCATGTACACTTTGCCACCTACCTCTTAAAACACTCCACGGGAAAGCCTGTAAGTTTAGCTCATCGTTCAAATTGCTTTTCTTTGTCTTACTTCTTTTATTTGTCTTTAGTGTGGATGATGATGGGATGTTTAGTAAGAAGAATTCTCAGAATATGTATCCAGTTTTTGGGCCACAGTCTGCATTTTAGTTGCACCAGACCCCTTGTATTGTGAAATATAAGAATGGAATTTGGTGATGTCCTTATCTTGGAGCTCTTGAAATATTTTCATTTGGAAAATACCAGTATGCTGATACTTTCTTGTGCCTACCTGTAGTCTATAGAGATTCTTAAAACACTTGTTTTGCTTCCAGTTTGGACTGATGCTGTGTGTTAAAATAGAAACATTTCTGATAAAATGGAAAAGTTCAATCTTGACCAGCTCGATATATCGTATTGAAAACAGGAACTCCAAACTGTCATAAAATAAATTCTCTGTTCCATGGGACTTTGATGATGAAGAAACATTTAAGTGAGCTGGAGTCAGCTGGGTCAGCAAGGGCTTAATAGGTCCTGCCTTACCCGTGTCAGCTGCTACAGGAGTATTTGGATGTCTCCAGTGTGTTTTCCAGCTTCTGAGAAGCTTTTGGTCTGTGCCATGTACCAGCTCCCCTCCTTGGTGCTGTGTGAGTGGGTTTTATGGTTCTGCACTTATCACTGAAATAAAACATGGCATAAGTATGTGTTTCCTCTCTGCCCTGAGCCTGGAAATGTCACTCTGCTTTTGAAATATAGCCTGAAGTGGACAGGAATAATTCACATTCAAAAAGCAATTATTCCTCTCTTCTTTTGTTGGACCTGGACAACACAAATAACAACATTGGTTTGAATTTTTTTTGAGTGGTGCAAACAAGATAAAATGCTCTCTAGTTAAATAAATGTTGCTTTTTAGATAACAAATATGCTGGGATTTCATAGTTGATATTACTGTATTTAAGTCTCTGCTTGTACTCGCCAGCTTTACAGTGCATTCAGAGTGTTTCAGAGTGGTAGTTTTCTAAATAAATATGCTGCTTTATTTCCTAGGACAAAGCTGAACTCGAGGAAAGGATTTCTCATTTTAAGGCATACCTGGAGACAGAAGGAGCTGCACTGAGCCAAACTACGGAGTTTCTTCCCTTCTATGCTTTGCCTTTTGTTCCAAACCCCATGGTCCATCCTTCATTTAAAGAACTTTTCCAGGTAGGTAACTATTTGGCGGAGATGGTATTTCTAGTGATTCTTCTCATGGAGTGATAGATTTCGAATGATGTTAATTTGGGAATCGCTTTTACTGTTTCCTTTGACAGAAACTGCACAATCAAGAAAGAACATGTATTTGATGAAGGAAGGGTTGTGAATGTGCTATCAATAACAGTATCATCTTAAATATATTTTATTTTACTTGAGTCCTAAATGGTCCTCTGGCTTTGTGTCCATAAGTAGGAATTGCTACCTCTCCTTCTTTTCTGCACAGCCCTGACGTATGCCTGCTTCTGGGAATTGCTACATTGTAGTTCAAGTCTCCTTAATTGCTCTGAGGTTGTTGCCCAACCCCGCTATCTATGTATGTATAGATAGGTTTAAAATGTGATAGTTAGGCAGAAGGAGGCTGAAGCAGTTTCATGTAACGTGGAAAAGAGAAAGTCAAGTTTATAAGTAACTCTCCTGTAACAGAAAATGAGTCAGTGCTGTCTGTTCTGAGACTCTTCCCCACCCTGCAAAAAAAAATGCTGTAAGTGCATAGCTGTGCTCAGTGGTTTGGTGACTCTTGCCACAGGCATTTTTTTTCTGGTCAGTTTTTTGGTTAAATAAGTTTTAGCCCTTGCCTTTGAATGGCTGTTGCAGAGTTCAGTTTTTAGGCTTGCACACGCAAGGTGAAAAGAGACAAAGTCAGTGTGCTTGAACTTCAAAAGAGATCGCATTCGCAGGGGCACTTTGAATGTAATGATGATCTACAGTTATTCTACTGATGAAGGGGTAATAAAACACCCTTGCATTGGCTGCTTTCTGGGCACCATGCAGGTAGATGGTCAGGAGGTGATGTCCAGAGCTGTGGTGTGATGTTCCAAAGTATTGGTGGGGAAGGTACAGCCAGCATCTCGCCTGCTGACGGCTTGTTCCTGCGATGCAAAACTGCACCTTAACTTCTTGGTTATGCTGGAAACTGCTGGTTATGTGGCTGCACTTGGACTGGATCAGGCTTTACCTGTGAATGTGTGTATATACAGCTCCCATGTGCACACACACACGTGTACACAAATTTGTTTGTAAAACATCTGTAATACTTCACAGGGTTACATGTTTGAAATGCTTCACCATCCTACCTCATGGACAGCTGTGTTTGCTTAGCTAAGGAGATGCGAGCAGTTATTGTGCTGGGAGGAGATATCTTCAGCCTGCATTGCTGCCACACACTTTGTGGTATCAAATCAAAGCTGAAGTGATCCTTGCCCTAGGGCTGACTTTGGATGTACCAGCTGATGAGGAGCTCCAGTGTAACACCAAAAAAAGGCATATACTGCCATTTTCCATTGGGACTAGCTATAAATAATGAGTTGTTGACCTCAGAGATGGGATATGACTGCTCTTAATTATACTTAGCAGCTTTTTTTTTTTAATGCCTTATCTAAGACAAGATCCTCAGGTTTATTCATAGTAACCCAGCGTCCAAGCTCTTGGTCCAAAGTCACTCATATTTTCTTGTGGGAATTGTACAGCTCATTCCATGTTAGTGTTGAAACGCAGATTGTTTTACGTTTGAGAAAGAGCAGCAGTGAGTCACTTGTCTACTAAGCAGTGTTCTTACGGCATATTGTTTTTCTCAGGCGTCTGATGCTTTATATAGCTGGAGTTCCTGTCTGTCTGTGTAATACATCTTGAAGAATAATACACAGTCCTCTCTGTAGGAGCCATGGTTCCTTTGGTAATATAGAGCATACTGCAGTGCATCGCTGGGTATTGAATTTGTAAATGTAGTGAGTAAATGCTGTACGCTCTCCAGCATAGTGAAATAAGGGCGAATCTGAGCTGCATGAGCAGCGTGCAACATATACATACACAGCAGTAAATTTATGAAGCTGCTGCTACTCACTGGAAAATACTGCTTTTCTGTTGGCTGGCTTTTCACCAAGCAGAAATAAATTTAACTGAAGGTTTGAAATAGAAGAAATGAGTGTTTGGTGGATTCTTGGGCGTAGTGTGGCTTTTTACCTTAACTTATTTTCTTGTGCTTATGAGACACTAGCAGGCAGAAGACAGCGCTCCAGTTAGTGGCCGATATGTTGGTCTGGTTTTCATATGTGAGTTGTTTTCCTCCGAGTCCTTTTTCAGAAATGCTGTACCCTGATCACTGATGTCATGTTATGATGCTTGCAATAGTTCTTGACAAAATTTTCCCAGATCTTGTCAGGAGTGAAAGATGACAGATTACTTTTTGAAAACTGAGCAATGTCAAATTACTGATTTCGTACTCTGTTTAATAAGTTTAAAATTAATATTAATGTTTTTGTCCAGTTACTTACAAAGGTACTTCTAATTTAGGGGCAGTTGCTGCATTTGCATACAAGGCACCAACACTATATGATAGTTTTACACTTGAAATAAAGCTGCATCATGATTTTAGAACTCTTGTCTAGGAATGACACTGAACTCTTCTGACTTCTGTACATTTTTATGGGTAGCTAACAAACACGTTCCCTTCAGTAACAGTGAAGGGAAAATCTTTTCAAAGTGATGCTGGCTGCCCTGTTTCCTAGTGGAAGGTTGCTGGGATCCAAACAGTACTTTCAGCAGAGTGTACTTATTTGGTGAACAACTGTCATAATTTGTTTTTCTTTTCAAGGACTCTTGGACATTGGATCTGAGGACAAGATTGGAAAAGTTCCTGTCTCTGACTCTCAAAGACAGACAGGCTCCCCGACTTCTCACTTTATTTGTATCCTTTTGAGCAAACATTTTGAAGATAATTAGAATTACTCTAAAGAGCCGTATATTTATTGGAAGAGTGGGCTGCTAAGATTTATTGCAGAATTGCAGCAACATTGCAGTTCAGTGGTTTTATGTTTATAGTCCACATTTGAAAAAACGTTTTGAAAAAGTTATGTAAGGACAATTTTTAGATGCATATGAACCTGAATATTTATTATATGACCATTCTTTGCTTCTATGTGTAAAGTGCAGGATACTCCAAGGAACTGACCTGACCTGACTTCTTTCTTGGCATTTGTAAAGCTGTTAAGTCTTTTCAATTTGCCATTGCAGGGACCAGCTGAAAATTTTCCAGGCTTTTAAGAGTTCCAGAAATTATTATTTTACTAAATGGCTTATGCTTCAGACTGTATTATAATGTATTATGCTTCAGGGCTGGATCTGGTACCTTTAAAGGACAGCAAAAAGTCTGAAGTCTCCATGCAACATTGTACATTGTGCGCTTGTGAGATTTTTCCTGTATTTATTATTGATTAATTTATTCTTGCTCTTCTGTGAAGCTTGAGGCATTGGCTGTTGCCTGGGATAGTAGGAACATGTGGCTTGGTTGGGTTTGCCAATTGGTTGAATTTCTCAGTCTGTGTCTCTGGAACAAACACGTACTGAAAGGACACACGTTTTCCTCAACTGCTTCTACTCGTACAACAGAAGGAGAACGGACAATGCAACAAAGGTAAATGCTGAGATGTGGTAAGGATATTCTGTAAGATCAAGGGCTACAATAGTAGTGGAAACTACACCTGCAATGACGGTGAAATTAGATCTGCATGGCAAAAAGCCTTTGAAATCCAGACCCCTGTCTTGGTGATAGTTACTGCTGTACTGCTTGAGGTCAGAAGGGTTGAGCATCGTCATAGACTAGAAATGGGAGGTGGCCTAGTAGAGGGATTTGTATTTTGAGTCTATTCTGTCCTCAAATATAGCTAAAAAGGTGGAGAAATCTTTACAAAGTGCATACCAGCTCTCCCTTTTTAGTTATGGTGAAAGTAAGTTTCCTCAGATTCCTTTCCCATACCTGCTTATGCCCATCTGCATCTTCCAGGTTTCAAATCTCTTTCAGTTATTCTGATGACTCTCTGATGATTTCAAATGAAGCTGCTTTTTGTTTCTATTCACTCATCCTGTTTAAACTCCTAAAATAGTATATATTGGTATCCACTGAATAAGAATGGGTTAATTTAAGTATGATTCTCTGATGTGTTGCATTTTTAGGTAAGTTGTTCATATGCATTTAAGTGTGTGTGTGACTTGGGGTCCTTTAGAAAGTAATATTTTCAGCAGTGCATCCCATTAGATGCTGATGGTACTTGAAATATGTGCCTTTTAAAAACATCAACTCAATAAATATAACTTACGTTCCTAACTCATTTGCATTTGTTTTTTCACTTGACTTTCCGTGTTCACTTTTTTGGTAGGGATTTGTGTGAGCCCAGCTGGGTTCCTAAAATGACTTTTCCTCTTGAGTTAATTTAATCTGTAATTTTACACTGAGGATTTACTATTTGTAGATTGAACTAAGGTGAAAGTTAGGCACATTTCCCACTGTGAGTTCCAGGTATTTTCTTTGTTATTTTGTCCTTTGTATTGCATTAGACTTTCATTGAATAGATAGAAAGGTCTTTGTGGATTTTTATTTTCCAGAAGTTACTCTCTTTCCTTGTGGTGGACTTTCCTGAAGATGATAATTCCACACTCTGATTAGAAAGAAATAACTACATGATTGGGCCTGAATTATTTTGAGCCTAAATCTTTTTTACTTGGCCAGGTTCTGTGCTTTGTACCAGTACAGGGACCGTCATGGCATTGAATCCAGGCAGGTCAGCTTTAATTTGTGGATCCGTTATGTACCTTGGAGGTTGAGCCCGTTTGGATTTTTCATAAAGGTTACCTGAGTCGTGTCTCATACGGAAGTTTTGGATCTGAGAGATTATTTTTGCAGTTTGCTGTTCCACAGTACACACTCACTGTTGGACGATGTTTACTTTAGCAATGAAGGAGAAACGCAAAGAAAATTAATAGGCAATGTGTGAACGAAGACCAATATGGCAAAGAGTTCTGAAAGCAGCCTTTTGGAAATAGTTGCCAATCTTTAGTCTGTCATACTGAAGCACTTCACGTTTGGGTGTGGTGCTACTTGTGCTCTTCGGGATGTTCTGGAGGGTTTAGTGTGTTTACCTTTCCCAATTAACCTGCTGCAATCTGGTTTTTTACCCATTTGCTAAAAACCTTTATTACTTGTATGACTTTGAAAGCCATCTGTGGGGCAGTTGTGCTTAACTTACAGCTCTCCTATACGTTCTTGGTTTGGCTGGAAAGGGAAGAATTGCACAATGGTTTGCATCTTGCACAGAGCCTCAGACCTTCTGTGTGTCCTCTGTGCTGTATGAGTTTCAAAGCCATCTGTGGGGCAGTTGTGCTTAACCTACAGCTCTCCTATACGTTTTTGGTTTGGCTGGAAAGAGAAGAATTGCACAATGGTTTGCATCTTGCGCAGAGCCTCAGACCTTCTGTGTGTCCTCTGTGCTAGCAGCTATGGAGGGAATGAAGTATTTGGAAGTGTGTTTAGTTACTGTCCCCTTTGCTGCCTCATTACAAATGTGGGGAGGAGTTCACAGCCACTCCTCCACCATTTTGGGGGATTGAACTGGATGATCTTTTGAGGTCACTTCCAATCCCTAATGTACTGTGATTCTGTGATTTTGGGAAAGGAGAGAGGGGAGGAAGTGTGTCAGGCTGCTGCACAAGAGAACGTGAAGTGTGACTTATTTGTCGGTATTTGATACAGTCTGAACAACTCTTAATGTGGAAAGATGTCAGTTTAGAATATGGAGAGTAATTTTTACTTCAAGGCAATCTGGCCAGAGTCAATGCTTGTAGCAAAGTATGTGAGGGTGGGCTGAGATTAGAGAGCCAGGGAGAGCAAACACAAGTTCAGGAAACGTATTTGAAGTGTAGGTAAGTTGTCATAAAGGATAATGACCAATCTTTGACTTAGGGAGAGTGGCTTATAGTGGAATTATGTGCATATGCATAACTCCATGGCTGCTTATAGGAACTGGAGTGAAAACATTTAAAAGGCTTGACAGTTGTGTATGTGAGAGAGCAGGCAAGAATACTGCTAGAAACACTGGTGGTTCAGGTGATGCATAGTACCAGTGTCTTCATCTGGCAGGGCCACAAGCTTTACTCTAGCTGTATTTTCCTAAAGCAAGAGGTTAGTCCTCTGTCCTTTATTTTCAGAATAATGATTCTGGTAGGTGTTGGGTCCAAAGCTTTCCCCCCACTCTATGAGTTTATCATACATAGAAAGCATTTATCAGTGTTGGGAAATTGTGTCTGGGAGAGGGAAAAGCCAAAAGTGTTGTGTTACTCTGCGCTTCGTGTTGCGGGTGCAGTTTGATGGCTGCTGCAGGGTGAGCTGCCCATCTTCCCTTCTCCCCTGTCTTGACTCAGGTGGCAATGATTTAACATTTTAAACAAGAGTAAGTTGGACCCTGATTCTTAGTTGCCAAGACATGCATTCATGAGCTGCGTTGAGTTCTGGTTATGTAGTTTTTCCTGC